AAAAAAAAAAAAAAGAAGAAGAAGACAAAAAGAATTTGGAGAATTGGAAAATTAGAAAACAGCACAGGTAGTCTAAGCTGGAGTCTCGCATACTAGAGGGATCGAGATAGCGCGAGGTATGCATGATGTGACCCAAGAAGTGCCCTCAATCATAGCCCCACACAAAAGCAGAAGACGGTGAGAAGCGATCAATGTTATGGGGTTGTCGGTTGGTCGTTGGAATCAAGGGTCATACCTTAGTTTTCCAACACCACACATGCATATGTAGTACCCTATAAACTAGCTTTCTACATGGATTCAGGAGTCAGGAGGACTGCCTGGTTCAAAAAGGCGGAGAACTACCCTCATTATTGTGAAACTCTAGAATAGAAAAAAAAGTCATTCTTATATCTTTAGAAGTCATTATTTTTGTTCTTAACCGTATCCCTTAGCGGCATTTTCCCTTTGTCTGGCGCGTTTCCTGGTTATATAAACTTTTGAGCATGTTGCTGAAGCTGAAGCGCAAGCGCATAATAGAATCATTCAAAGAGCGTCCCTGTCAGTTAGGTCCTATTGACTTACATATGTACGCACATACCCCATAAAGTACTCCAGATGTAACCATATGTACATACATGAATAGTTTACCTCACTACTGTTTACATAGCACAACTCCACGGTCAAGATCAAAACATACGGAGTATTTGAAGGGCAATTAGCAGGAACAAACTGCTCCCCCATCCATGGTGCTACCCGGTCGGGAACTGGTAAAGTTACGGGATGGTTCCTTTGGTACGCATACCTCAGGTACATACATACAGTACCTGTATCTTCCAAAGTTCAATTGGTCACGGGTACAGTCACGGGTGCTTTCCTTAATAGTAGTAGATTGGGAAAGGCTCATGCCTGAGTCAACTATCACGTATCGCTCGGGTTACACTCGGAAAACAGCAATGCCATAATCACCGCCAGTACTACGTACAAATATTGTACAGAAAAAGACTGTATGTCTTCTGAAGCCTACGTATGATGTGAAGTATATAATAGCCCCTATCCACTGCTTCACCATGAGTTTCTTAGAGACTCTTACCCCATCCAGAGATATTATACGAGAAGACTCCCCTTGCAGTATATTCCTGTATCCTGTACAGAGTACCGAGGGATAGTAACTCCTCTGGGCAGTAATGATAATATTAGCACTATAGAGCATCGACCTGAACTGGAAAGTCCTTAGTAGATCGGGTAACTCCCACCTTTCGTTCTGTCGCGTATTTGCCCCATACGGAGCACCCTCATCCTATCAAGAGCCTGAAACTAATGTAAACAATTCTACAGGGTATTTCAACGCGAATCCTGTACTGAACTTGTATTATCCAGTCAATAATAGATACCAGAGCCCGACCGTCATCCGTGAGTGGGGTTCAGCCCCATCTGAAGACCGCTTTACTTTTGACAGAACGAGTAAACAGTCACTTAAGGACCCAAAACTTTGGCTGGGTTTTCTCGGCATCGGAAAAAAGGAGGGGCAGGATTGACGGCATGTCGTAATGGATCATCAAGTGTCCGGCGCTCCGGCT